CAAACTCTGTAACAATGAAGCCCTTCCTTTGTCAAGAGATTGTTAGCTTTACATTCCAAGCATTTAAGTTTGTTCATGGAGCACATTTAAATAAGCAATCCTGTAGTCAGTGGGAAATGTGGGACAGCATTAAAAAGATCAATAGAGTGAACAGGAGCCTGATGCTTTACTCAGAAGATGAAATAACATTGTGAGGACACTGAAGTTTAACTGTACGTTCTGAAGCCTTAGTGAAGCTGTTAGGATCCACAAGAGCTCTGCTAAAAGTGGCAGATTTGAGGTGTGGTGTTTTCTGAAAGAGATGTTTGCAAAAGCCTTGAAGCTACAAAAGTATAACTAACTGGAAAAAACAACCCTAGAAGAACTTCATTGTCCATACGCAGCATGAAGTAGTTGACAGATCATTTTGCCTGGTACAGAGTATCAGAAGCAACACCAAAGACCTGCACAGTATTTTCTGTCATGAAAGAACTTTGTTACAGAATCATTTTTGTACATATAAAAACCAAACCTTGTCAGAATTCACATCTGGAGAATTTAGCTATTGTTATGAACTCATTTAAGCAGAATTATCTTGATCTTGACACAATCAAATATAAGGAGTGGGAGTGTGCATTTGTGAAAGCTTATAATGTGATATTAAATCTAAGTAATTTAAATGGTGAAGGACTGTAGGTGATCCTGGGTTTTAGACTTTGACAATAATGAAGCAATACTGAGTACCCCAAGGAGTGAAGGACACGTTCAGATGAGTATGCTACGATGATACTGAGCTCTTCCAGGTTAATAATGTTCAATTGTGTAGAAGAATAGAGTAAAATATAAGCATTATTATGCTTGAATGTGAAGCAAAACACAAACAAGCGTTCTAAAGGAATAATGTCATGCAAGGAGGTGAAAATATGAGGCAGAAAGTAGTAATTATGAGCTAAGAGAGGGCACTTCGGCTTCAAAATACAAAAGACATGGGTGACATCTGCACGCTGTCTTCCCAGGAAGCTAGAGGGCCTCCTTTCTCCTTAGAAGCACCAGATTAGCAGCACATGAGCCAGAACACCTCCACCAGATATCTAAAGACTAGCTGAAGAGTTGCAGCAGCAGCTATTTTACAAGTAAGAATAGACTACAATGGTATCTCTTATTGGAAATTGACAGTCATGACTAACCATCATAATACAATAAAAATGGTCAAGCATGGGAAACAGCTCAACATCACTAGCCATCATAAAGATTAAAATAAAGACTACAATGAGAAAAGACTCTTGGTTTCTCGTTCTGCACATGACGCCTGAAATTTCCAGTCCATCTTAACAAAAAACACAAAAGTGAACAAAAGCAGAGAGCCCAGCAGCTCTTCCAGGCTGTGAAAGAGAAGTGAGGACACCGGGCAAAGACGTGTCCCCAACCCTGGAGAGACAGACAAGGGAGGGCAGGAAGTGAGGACTCATGGGAGCAGAGATTCAGGCTCTACTCTCGTTCTAAGCGAGCCAGGACAGAACCAGAAAAGCTCAACTGTGCTTAGCAAACTGCTATAGATTCAGTGTGGTCAATTTTACATTTACAACCCACAGTTTGTGAGGCGGGCCCCTAGGAGCTTGACCCCAATCTCACAGTAAGCATCCCAGAAAAATCCCCTTAAGAAATTATCAGGAGAGAGGAAAAAATATCTTTAAAAATATGACAGACCAGTCTGCCTTCATAACAGAGGACTGTTCTAAAAATAAATTGATAGTAGATAGATAATATTTAAATTAAACCAGTGAACGAGAAGCTGAGCAACTGGGGTTTTATTACAGTCGAACTGACCCAGAGGACAGGAAATGCTCAACGCTAGTCAGCTCCAGCTTTCCTTGCCTTCTAGATTGGGGAGGAGAAATGGCCAACTTCTACTCTAGCAGCTGTCTTCTCCTCCTAAGTAGAGAGGAAATCTGTGAAGAAACACTTGTGAGTTCACAGTCAGAGACACAACTGAGACCCCCGAGGCCTTATCGCACTTCCCCATCCCTGTCCTTTGCTGGGAACAAGCATAGCAAAAGGTAAAATGTGCAATTCAATTTGAAGAGACGGAGCAGACAGTGCTCTTAAGCCATCTCCAGTGCAGCACTGACCCTTTTTTTTTTTTTTTTTTTCCCCCTAAGACAGTCTCCCTGTAGCCCCAGCTGTCCTGGAACTCATTATGTAGATCAGGCTGGGCATGAACTCACAGATCAGGCCATTATGTAGATCAGGCTGGGGCATGAACTCACAGAGATCCTCCCTGTCTCTGCCTCCCCAGTGCTGGGATTAAAATCAGGTATGAGTGTATTACCTGCATATATGTGAGTGCACCTACAGAGGTCAGAAGAGGGCTTCCGAATCTCCTGGATTTGGAGTTAAGGATGGTTCATGACCACCATGTGGGTGCTGGGAATCGAACCCAGGTCCATCTGCAGGAACAGTCAGTGCTCTTAACCACTGAGCCATCTCTCCAGTCCCTGGGCTGACACTTGCTTTTAATCATTATATTTTATCACAACCACAGGAGAGTAACCAATCCAGCTGTCTTTATGGCAGGAACTTACTCTGAAGTTTGTAGTCAGAGCCAGGTGTGGTGGTGGCACATGCCTCTAATCCCAGCATTGGAGATGCAGAGGCAGGCAGATATCTGTGCGTTTGAAGCCAGCCTGGTCTATTTAGTGAGGTCCAGGCCAACAGGGGGTACACAGAGACCCTGTCTCAAACAGATCAAAAAAAAAAAAGTAATCATGTGATACATTTTGAAAGGAAATGGGATAGTTTCAGTTTTATTGCTTTTTTTCTCAAGATACATTTGGTTATATGTGATGTTTGTAGTTCCACATATATTTTATGACTGTTCTTCTATTTGTGCGGACAATGTCATTGGGATTTTGATTGAAATTGTATTGATTCTTTACAATGGAATAGTCTCAGCGACTTAACAATTCTTCTGATCCATAACTATTTGATATCTTTGCAGTTGGGGTCTATTTTGTGTTTTTTTTTTTCATGATTTACAGTTTAGTATATGATTCCTTTGCCTCCTTTGTTAAGGTTGTTCTTAGGTATTCTTTTCAATGCTATCATGAATAGAGTGGTTTCCTAATTTTCCTTTCTAGAGTGAAATTGTATCAACTTTAATAAATTCTAAGTTCTTTCCAAAATCTTTTTTTTTAATTAGAAAACCAATATAACAAACCTAAACTCATTGAAAATAAAAATAAAATCAGTAAGACTTTGCAGGCTCTGTCCCCAACCAGCACCGAAGTCTCTGCTGCCCAACACCAGTTTCTTATACCCAAGAGAGGACAACCATATGAAATGAAGGGTCACTTTTCTGCACTGAAACCCCCTCCACCTCACCCTTAATTGACACACTTACACCCAGTCTGGGTCTAGGCCAAAGGCAAGGAAAGCAAAGTTTGTGGCAAGGAATCACAGATACACCCTAACCTACTCAATATCCCTTGTTAATAAAGGAAGACAGAAGGGAAATTGGCTGTGAGGAGTGGGACAGCTACACAGACTCCTAGGTACAGTATTTCCCAGACAACAATGGCCAGGAGGATGAACCACCACAGCTCTCCCTGATTGGAGCTCTCACTGGTCTGTGGCTAGGAAGCTTTCCTGTCATCACCACTGGTGGTTCTCCATCTGGTTCTGTTTCATCTGTTCCACCAGCTGCACCTCACTCGGCTTGTCCTTGGCAGCAATTTCAGCACACTTTCATGTTTGCCCACTTAGATGCTTTACCTGCAGTAAAGAGGGAGAATTTGGTGGAACTGGAGTGAGGACAGATCTGGTGCTCACCAGGACCATGGGAGTGAACATAAACCTTTCCTTGGTGACCTTGTCCCGGGATCTCCATGAACTTGCCGAGCCCCGTATAGATGCTGGCTGATCCTTCTCAAGCTGCTTGTTACACAGCTGCGCCAAGCCGTGGTTAGTGGCTGGCTGGTCCTCATTGTGCCCCTCATCAAGCAGCTACCTCTGATAATTTCTGAAGACCACGGTCTCCACCAGAGTCTTAATAAAGCACTTCTCTGTCTCCCCAGTGTAGAAACAGGGGGTGCTTCTGCAGGGCAAAAGCACAGCAGCAGCGACCCTGGGGCCTGCATCCCTCTAACCCAGCCACTGTCCTGGTGGGGCCTCACACCCCACACTCCTTGCCCCACAGCCATCTTGCCCCACTTGCCTCTCTAAATTCTTTAGTTACTTCTGTTTCTTCAATAAAATCCTTAGTTTTTTATGTATGAATCATTTCATATATAAACAGGCAATTTTCATTCTTCCTTTTTGAATAGATTGGTTCTTTCTTTTTCTGTTAAGAAGAGGTCATCTCTGTCCTCAGTGTCACCCTCAGGAAGAGCTGAATTATAGGCACCCAACAAAGAAATGGAAGCTAACAGGGATGTCTGGGCTAGACTTGGGCTTCAGGTATGTTTCTGTCAGGACACTGACTGGCTTGGGCCCTGAGTTGTGCTTCCTGTGGGGGCCTGTGCACTACAGCCTTCCTGTTCCACCACCGGGGTCTTATGCTTACTTGCATGAGACATCTGGAAGGACAGGGGCCTCCCCCAGCTGTCGGTAGTGACCATGCCACCAATACGATGCCATCCGACCCAGTAGTTCTCCATAGCAGATGACCAGGTCCAGGCCACACATCATGCAGGGTGCACAGAGGGTGGCAATCCAGACCTATCCCTGAGGAAGAGACCTAAAGCTGGCAATAGTTCCCTCCAACCTGGAAGGCCATGTGGACAGTTAATGAAGGGCTTGTGCTCTGGTGATGGGCCAGTGGACAGAACCAGCTGTGCCCACTCACTGCTTTCCCTTTCCTATCAAGGTCTCTTTCCCTCCCTGACACCATTCTCTCAAGGAGTCACACACACGAAGCCTGTGCCAAGCATCCAAGGACTAGTGGACCCTGGCAGGTTCCCGTGTTACATTCCTTGTTAATGACTCAACACCAATGCTAGACAGGATATAAGGGTGAGGAGAGACAAAATGTTTCCATAGAGCAGAAGATGACTGCACATGCGCACTCGGAACTTTGACAGTTGGAGTCCTTAGAAAACTGTGAGTGACCAGGGCAAAGGGCCAACCTGCACTCACAGCCTTGGTGCTGGGACTGACTGTGCTGTGACCTCTGATGGAGACAGGACAACTGAAGTACAGACTGGAGATCCCTGCCTGGGGCTGAGAGAGGGTCGGGGCAGAAGGGAGCTTGGGGTGGAAATGGAGGTCTGGGGCAGCCTGGGCACAAGCAGGTGGCCCGGTGGGTTTTCGGTCATGAGTTTACTTTCTCCCGAGATGGCCAGGGGACGGTGGCGCCTCAGAGGTCGTATGGGGCAGAGTGTGAAGGGCAGGCAGGCCGCAGCAGGCGGGTCCGCGTCCCATGTGGCAGGGCTCCCTCCCGGCTTGGGCAGAGTCCTGGGCGCTTTGCCACAGTGGGCTTCGTTTCCGTTCCCCGGCAGGGGGCGCACATACGATCCAGAAGGCAATTCACCCTGGGCCAATTGGTCACTTGGGCTGCTGGGAACGTTAGAGGGGCTTAGGGTTTCAGGTTCCTCCCCCTGGAGTCCCGGATGAGTGGCGTCATCAGCGATTAATTTTTGGAAGGGATTAAGCGCCGAAAATCTTCGCCGGTGTTGGTGGCGCTCACCGGTAGGATTTGCTGAAGGAGGTAGAGGCAGGAGGATCTGGAGTTCAAGGCCAGCCTGGGCTACACGTTTTCCCTTTTGCCCTGCAACGATAAAGTTGAATCCGTGGAAGCACAGCACCCCAAAACAGTACTCCAGCACCAGCAAAACTGTTCCACAGGCTCCCCTCACCTCCGTTTCACCCCTGCGCCCCACCCCTTGCCGCATTCTCTCAGTCCCTCCACACAAACAGGGACCCCTCTACACCCTCCTCTCTAGCCCAAGCCCTATGAACACTCCTGACCCCCACAGCGGCCCCGACCTCACACTTGCTCCGCCCCAAACCACAGGCACCTTTCCTTGGTGACTTTGTCCCGGGATCTCCATGAACTTGCCTAGCCCCTTACAGATAGTGGCTGATCCTCCTCAAGCTCCACAGCTGCAGCAAGCCGGGGTTAGTGGCTGACTGGTCCTCATTGTGCCCCTCATCAAGCAGCTGCCTCTGGTAATTTCTGAAGACCATGGTCTCCTCCAGAGTCTCAAAAAAGCACTTCTCTGTCTCCCCAGTGTAGAAACAGGGGGTGCTTCTGCAGGGCAAAAGCACAGCAGCAGCGACTCTGGGGCCTGCATCCCTCTAACCCAGCCACTGTCCTGGTGGGGCCTCACACCCCACACTCCTTGCCCCACAGCCATCTTGCCCCACTTGCCTCTCTAAATTCTTTAGTTACTTCTGTTTCTTCAACGAAATCCTTATGGTTTTCTAGGTATGAATCATTTCATGTATAAAAAGGCAATTTCCATTCTTCCTTTTTGAATAGAATGGTTCTTTTGTTGTTTTTTAGGAAGAGGTCATCTGAGTTGCCCTGTCCTCAGTGTCACACTCTGGAAGAGCTGAATTATAGGCACCCAACAAAGAAATAGAAGCTAACAGGGATGTCTGGGCTGGACTTGGGCTCCAGGTACGTTTCTGTCAGGACACTGACTGGCTTGGGCCCTAAATTGTGCTTCCTGTGGGGGCCTGTGCACCACAGCCTTCCTGTTCCACCACCGGGACCTTATGCTTACCTGCATGAGACATCTGGAAAGACAGGGGCCTCCCCCAGCTGTGGGGAGTGACCATGTCATCAATAGGGTGCCATAGGCACCAAGTCGCTCTCCATAGCAGATGACCAAGTCCAGGCTGCACATCACACAGGGCGCACAGAGAGTGGAAATCCAGACCCATCCCTGAGGGAGAGACCTAAAGCCATGTGGACAGCTGATGGAGGGCTTGTGCTCCAGCGATCCGAGGGCCAGTGGACAGAACCAGCTGTGCCCACTCACTGCTTCCCCTTTCCTATCAAGGTCTCTTTCCCTCCCTTACACCATCCTTTCATGGAGTCACATACAGGAAGTCTGTGCCAAGCATCCAAGAACTAGTGGACCATGGCAGGTTCCCGAGTTAGACTCCTTGTTAGTGACTCAACACCCATGCTGGACAGGATATAAAGGTTAGGAGAGACAAAATGTTTCCATAGAGCAGAAGATAACTGCACATGCGCATCGGAACTTTCAGAGTTGGAGTCGTTTGAAAACTGTCGGTGACCCGGGCAAAGGGCCAACCTGCACTCACAGCCTTGTTGCTGGGACTGACTGTGCTGTGACCTCTGATGGAGACAGGACAACTGAAGTACAGACTGGAGATCCCTGCCTGGAGCTGAGAGAGGGTCGGGGCAGGAGGGAGCTTGGGGTGGAAATGGAGGTCTGGGGCAGCCTGGGCACAAGTAGGTGGCACGGTGGGTTTTCGGTCATGAGTTTAATTTCTCCCGAAATGCCAAGGGGACAATGGCGCCGCAGAGGTCGTGTGGGGCGGAGTGTGAAGGGCAGAAAGGCCGCAGCAGGCGGGGCCCGGGTCCCAGGTGGCGGGGTTCCCTCCCGGCTAAGGCAGAGTTTTGCGCTCTTTGCCACCGTAGGTTTCGTTTCCGTTCCTGACAGGCAGGGGGCGCCCTCACGTCCCAGAAGGAGCTCCGGGCCAACTGGTCACCTCGGCTGCTGGGAACGTCAGTGGGGCTTCGAGTTTCAGGCTCCTCCTTCTGAAGTCAGATGGCTGACGTCATCAGAGCTTAGTCTTCACTAGAGCATCAACACGGACAACTACCGCCGGTGTTGGTGGCGCTCACCGGTAGGGTTTGCTGAAGGAGGCAGAGGCAGGAGGATCTGGAGTTCGAGGCCAGCCTGGGCTACACATTTTTTTCCCCCCCGCCGCAATAAAGGACAAATCCCCGGGAACACACCACCCGAAAACAGTTCACTATCACCCGCAAAACCTCTCCGCACGCTCCCCTCACCTCTGCTTCACCCCGCGCCCCAAACCCTGGCTGCGCTTCTTCAGCCCCTCCACACAGCGCCCTGTTCACACCCTCCTCACTAGCCCAAGACCACTGCACATGCCCGACCCCCACAGGGGCCCCGACCTCACACTCGCTCCTCCCCGCACCACACGCCCCTCTCTCCAATCCCGCTGCCTCAGCTGCCCTTGCTTCTCCTCTGCTCAAGTCCTGCTTGCCCAAAGCAGGCAGCCGCCAGAGCAGAAACGCTCCCAACAGAGACTTGCGGGTTTTCAGGTAGTTTATTTAACCCGGAACTCGAGTAAATAAAGTTCTTGGGAATGAAAATGTCAGTACAATAAAAATGTCTTTTGCCATTTTTTTTTATGTCGCAAAATATTGTAGGCGGAGCCGGGTTAATGGCTCATGCTCAGTCCTTAAACAGCAAGAGCTCGGTTCCCAGCACCCATGGTTGACTCTCCAGCCACCTCTTCTTGGTTTTGTGACACCTGCACACAAGTCACATAAATCGGGAAGAAATAATTTTTAATAACACACTATTCCTTTTCAGGTTTAACAAAGCAGCTAGGGACCTCTGACAGGAGACTGGTGGTGAGAGTGTGAGCGGGAAGAGAGCAGGTGGCAGCTGGAATTTTCCAGTAGAAACCACTGCTCTGTGTCAGATTCCCAAAGTAAACTGCAAGGAGGCCGGCTGCGGATTTGTTGTTGTTGATTTGATTTTGCTTGGTTTCATTTTGTGTGGTGGTGGTGTGGATTGTGCGTGTGCGTGTGCGTGTGTGTGGTGTGTGTAGGGAATCCGATTTCGTCTTGGATGTGTGTGTAACCAGTTGTGTAACTTTATAATAATCTCTGTTGAAAAAGAAGCTACTTTGATGGGTGGTGACTGGGATACTTGTCTGTAAATGAAAGAGAATCCCTATTTACACATAGTGAGAAATTACATTTGTCTAGGGATGTGAGAGTCTTGGGTAGTCTTTAAGATCTATGACCTCCCCAGCCATGTGTAATTGACTAGGTTTTTAGTACCAGACATGAGTTTCCTCCTGTTCAGTGGGCTTTAAGTCCAATTAGCTGTTGATTACCTCCAAGATGAAAGTACCACTACTTCACCAATGCCGTTTGCTGCGCTGGTCATTGATATGGTTTTGAGGCCTTTGAAGCTGGGGCTGGACCAACGATTGATGCTCTTCCTTACCAGCTTGCATAGTGCTCTCCAAAAGCTATTAGAGCTAGCTTTCAGGGGAGGAGGCTTCCAGGTCAGGTCCAACTCCATTGTTCCAGATCCTGTGTCCAGAGAATGTTGTGTTTTCAGGAATAGGGTCTTACCATCTGGGAGGCAATCAAGGACTGTGGCAATAACCTCTATAATTTTGGGAGGGTCTTGGACTACCCTGGCCAACAACTAAAAAGGACGGTTTCTCCTGTCTGGCACTGTTTCTTGTCATGTAGCTTCAGCTGTACTCACGGTTATTGAGTACATATCATGTAGGGATATTGTATGTGTAAAATTTCAGTACATTTTTGGACTAACACACACACACACACACACACACACACACACACACACACAAATACTTCTGAATAAACCAAGCAAATGAAAGACAATGAGAACTTTAAGGCACTGAAGAAAGAAAATGAGGAGGACACTGGAAAATGGAGAGACATCTAACATTCATGGATTGGGTATAAAAATGATTTTTACATATGAAATACACAAAAATTGAATATTCTTTAAAAGATTGGGTGTATTTGTATTTCACACGTATAAGTTTAATGCTTACATAGTGGATTATTTCTTTAGTGAATATGAATTGTCTTGATGTTTTAGTGATTTTTCTGCTGCTGTGATAAATCACCATGACTAAAGAAATTTGTAGAAGGAAGAGTTTGTTTGGAATTCCAGTTCCAGAGGGAAAGTCCAAAATGGTAGGAGAGGCCTGGCAACAGGTAGCTGGGGCAGGAGGCTGAGAGTTGACTTCTTCAATGGCAGACACCAAGCAGAAAGAGAATCTGGAAGTGAGGCCAGGCCATGAACTCTCAAAGCCGCCCCCAGTGACAGGCTTCCCCCAGCAAGGCCTCACATCCTAAAGGTTCTGTCACCTTGTCAAATAGCACCACCAACTGATCAAGCACTCAAATACAGTGATAGACATTTTCCCTGGAGCTTTCGACCTGAAGCATAGAAACACCAAAAGGTCAATCTCAAGACTCTCCTCAGGAGAACAGAATGAATTTACAACAGAATCAACTCTGCATTTGTTTGTATGGAGACCCCTGTCACAGGAGGTCCTGGTCCATAATTGATGTCCATGGAGCAAACAGGACTGGAGACAATGGAAACAGAATATTTTGCCAGAGCATCTTCTAGTTGATGAAATAAGGGCCAGTGAAAGAGCAGAAGCAAAAAGATTAAAAATCATGATGAAAAAGAAACAAAAAAAGATGTCATTTAGATTTAGCTCCGTAAGAAGAGACCTGGCTAGAAGGACAGAGGGACACACTGGAAAAAAACTAGTGAGTCAGTTACAGTGGTGCATGCCTGTAATCCCAGAACTTGGGAGGTGGGGGGAGGAGGATCAGGAATTCAAGGACAGCCTTGGCTACAAAGCAAGTTTGAGACCAGCCTGGACTACATGATACCTTGTGTTAAATAAATAAATAAATAAATAAATAAATAAATAAATAAATAATGGGTATTCAGATAAATAAAATTCAATTCAGCATATTAATAAAATTGAAAAAGGAAAAAAAGAGGAGCATTCCAATAAATTCAACCTAGGCATATGAAAAATTTAATATAAATTCACAATTCTCAACAAATTAGAAATTGAAGGAACTCCCTCAACCTTACGAAAAGTACCAGTTTAAAACAAAACAAAAAACTCATCCACACTTTTGTTTAGTCTTTTAAAATATCCATCTAATTTTTGTTTTTATGTTTTATGAGTGTTTTGCTTGCGTTCTGTCAAGTACACCATGTCTTGCAAAGTCCATGGAGGCCAGAAGAGGGCATTAGATCCCTTGGAACTGAAGTTACAGAGAGTTGTGATTGGCCATGTGTATGTTGGGAACCCCGGTCCTCTGCAAGAGCAGTCAGAGCTCTTAGCTACTGAGCCATCTCTCTAGTTATCAGTCATTTGTGGGGCTTTTTTGTTTGTTTGGTTTTTTGTTTGCTTGTTTTTTGTTGTTGTTGCTTTGTCTTTCGGGACTGTCTTCCTGTAGCCCCAGCAGGCCTAGACCTCACTATGTAGACCAGGCTGGTCTCTGTCTCACAGAGAGCCACCTGCCTCTGCCTCCTGAGTGCTGGGACTAAAGGTATGGGGGGCCACACTCGGGTCCAGTCTGCTTTATTCTTAATGGTGCCAGACTGAATGCTTCCTCCAGTGATCAGCAGCAAGGCTACTGTGTCTGATGGACAAATGTTGTCAGGACAACATGGCAAGAGGAGAAACAACAGTCATGCAGCTTAGAGAGAGAGATGAAAATGTTGTTATTCGAGGTTGACATGGTTACAGCTACATATAAACCTCAAAGCCACTGTCTAAAGGTACTCAAAGTAATAAACGAGTTTACAGGACTTCAGGACACAATGTCAATGTATAAAAAGCTGTTACATTTTTATTACAAGCAATTATCATATGGAAATTCAAGTGTAAGAACTGTATCACAGCAATGCTGAAAACACACAATTTAAAATTTCATAAAATGGAATCTATAGGCAAAAGTGATGAAGAAATAAAGATTTAAATCCACACAGTGATGTAAGACGTTCATGAATTGGAATGCTCACTGTTACTAATATAAAACTTCTGCTCAAACAGGTGTATAGATCCAGGTAGTTCTGGTAAATATTGTGGCATGACTTTGGGGGGGGGAATTGGCACAGTGATTTTTCTAATTACATATAGAATAGCAGCTTAAACAATTTACTGAAAGAAGAGGCCAAATTTGTAGAAATGACAGTGCCTCACACAGAGCAGCAGGCAGATGGGGACACAAATCAAAGAGAAAAACAAAAAAAAACAAAAACAGTGAAGAAGAAAAGCAAACATGCACTGTGGACTGACCAAGGTGGACATCTGCTAGGTCCAGAAACGGCATATATGGTACTGAAGCAGTTTAGTGCCCTGTGGAGAAAACCAACACCTCATCCTTGTAAAATAACTCAAAATGGATCACAGACCCAAACAGGAAGATTGGGGCTTTAAAATGGTTTAAAGAAAAAAAGAAGGAACATCTTTGTGAACTTGTTTCTGCAAAGCATTTTTAGTTGCAACCAAAAGCTGGTCTATGCTAGGGAAAAATTAAATAGATTTAGGAAAATTAAAACCCTCTCTTCTGATCCCCTGTGAGGGAATAAAAAGATAAACAATGAACTGATAGGTGTTTTGGGGGGGTTTGGGGGTTTTGTTTTTTTGTTTTTCTTTTTTATTACATAGCTCTTAAAATAAGTTCTATCTAGAATATGTGGAGAGGTTTCAAAATGCAATGATGGCACTGGACAGGAGTCTCAGCGGTTAAGAGCACTTGCTGCTCTTCCAGAGGATTTATGTTCGGTTCCCAGCTACCACACAGGGCAGCTCCCCACCACCTGTAACCCCAACTCCAGGAGATCTGACACCCTTTTCTTGACTCTGAAGGCATCTTCACTCACATGCACACACCTACACATAGACACAAGTATATACACATACCTAAAAATAACAAAAATGAATTTAAAAACCACAATGATTAAAACAAAATAAAACAAACAAAAACATTAAAGCTGCGGAGATGGCTCATTGGTAAAGCATTTGTAGGGCAAACGGGAGGATATTTTTGGATCCCCACAACCCATGTGAAGCCGCACAAGTTAACATGTGTGTGTAATCCCAGCACTCCTATGGTGAGATGGGAGGTAAGTGACCTGACATGTTGTGTAGCAGGGAACACAAAGAGGAACCTGAGTCTTTCCTCTGATTTCCAAGAGAAAATCAGATTCTCTACACACACACACACACACACACACACACACACACACCACTACCATTACAGAAAATGAAACAAAAACAAATCAAACCAACAACAACAAATCCTCAAACGGCCCCCTTGCACTTTACTTTGGGAATCTGACACAGAGCAGTGGTTTCTGCTGGAAAATTCCAGCTGCCACCTGCTCTCTTCCCGCTCACACTCTCACCACGAGTCTCCTGTCAAGAGTTCCCTAGCTGCTTTTTTAAACCTGAAAAGACATAGTCTCGTATTAAAAAATTTTCTTCCCGATGTATGTGACTTGTGTGAGGGTTGTCATAAAAGCAAGAAGAGGTGGCTGGAGAGTCAGCCGTGG